TCCTCAGCACAGTGAGTTCAGGCATAGCAGTGCTCACTCCTGATCTGGCTGCAAGCTTCATCAACCCAGATGCTCTTCTGTATGGCAGAGCTTCTATCAGAAGTCTCCCTTCTGCTGCAATATCATGTCTTGGTTAGGGCTTGCTGTAGAAAGCATCAGTTGGGAGGCTGTTGGGGTGCTGGATGTTGCTCTTTCCAGCAGGCTGGAGAAGTAGTTTTGTGTTGGTTGCGCTGCTTTTGGGTTCAGAGAAGAGAGCTGGCAGTCCTGTGGTGTTGAGGCTGCTGGGTGCTAGGGAGGGTAAATGTTTTGTGGTGGGGCAGTGCTGTGGCCCTTAAATGTATGTGGGAGCAGATGTTGACTCCACATAACCCATTTCCTCCTTGTCACTCTCTCCTTCCTGCCATGCTATTTCAAGCAGCTGTTTTCTGCAGCTGAAAAACTCAAGTGATTTAGTAAGGCAAGGGTTTGCACGCACTTAGTGCTGTAGCTTTGGAGTTACTACACTGATGGTAATCCCCAGTCACAACAAAATACCAAAACATGGACCAAGCTGAAGGGCAGCATAAAGACATAAAACAGCTTGTTTTAAAACACACTTACTGGGCTTGTTCCTTGGGAAGGTGTTTTCTGCAGCTGAAACATCTCTCATGTGAGGAAGGCCTGCACAGCTTCTCTCCCCAATGCCAGAGCTTGGCTTATGCAGCTCAGGAGAAAACTTCACAGCCCCAGCTCCGGTTTCAGCCCTGCAGCTGGGCTGCCCCTACACCAGCCAAGAGCCAACTGGCAGCAGAGTGCTAATAGGTTATAAAAAGAAGGAAGAAAAAAACAAAACACCACCAGTACTCTCCTCCCTTAGTTTCATACTTCTGTGCTTAACCATGTGGTGGGTTGGAGTGGAGGAGGAAAGCAGTGCTGCTCACATCCGATGCTGCCCTTGGCTTTTCACCCTTTGCTTGTCCCTGCAGCTTTTTTTATTCTCTTGCTCTCTTAGGGCGTCTCTCTGTCCCATGCCTGGTGCAACCAAGTGCTTGGGAAACCCCAGCTCAAACCTGGCAGTTAAAGCCCAGATGCTGCAGCTGCTTCCTTCCCCTGAGCAATTCGCTGTTGCTGAGCTGAGTCGGGCTGGCATGGTGCAGTCCTTGCAGTGCTTTCAGCAGTAGCCACCTGGGGAGGATGCTTTTATTGAACAGCAGTACCATCTGCATCAAGACACCTCGGCTTGTGGCACTGCTGCTGATTGCCTCCCTCCGCTCCCACTGACCTCTTCAGCTCCAGCTCCGCATCCCTGGGATGTGTTTACGATTGCAAATTGGGATTTCATCCTCCACCAGCTGGCAAGGAAGTGCTTGCATTGCCACCAGCCTGCAGCAGGAGAGCAGCAGTTAAACACTGCCTTCGTTCAGCTCAAGGAGAAATGTCTCAGTTGGAGAGAAAGAAAACTTGCCAAGCCTGAAAGTACTTGGCATAAACAGCCCCACGCTGCCAGGGCGCAGGCTTGCCGGTTGGTGGCCCTGCTCTGGTGAGTTCATTTTCCCCTGGTCATGGGGCTGAAGGTGCTCTCATCCCCCAAATCAACCAGTGCCATAGGTTGCTCACAGAGATGAATGATCTAAAAGTTCCCAGTGATCACAAGCCACCACCAGAACAGCCTCCCCAGGGATTTGGTGAGTCCCCATCACTGCAGGTATTCAGGAATTAGCAGTTACCTCAGTGCTTTGCAGTGCTGAAAGCCTTCCTTTCCTCTTGGAGGAGCTCATATCTCCATGTAAATGCCACTCTAAAGACCGAGATAAAATTGTTTTAGGAGATAATTAAATAGATCAGGAGTGAAAGAAACAGTCATTCGTTTCAAGATTTGAAAGCCAAATTACACAATTTTGGGAAAATACTTTCGGGAAATTCTGGACACTTGTGAGCCAGAGGTGTCAATGACTGCAGGTGACACTGAGCATCATTTCAGCCAACTGTCCAGAGTTTCCCACCCAAACTGCAATGAAGACAAACATTTCGGGAGGTTTTGGCTAATGGGCAGAGGGAGGTCTTCCCATGCCAAGCAATCAAGCTCGCACTCCTGTGTCAAATATTTGATACTGAAAGCAAAGCTCTCATAAGCACAGGACCAGCTCGTGTTGCTCCCCAGCAACAAAGCAGGACCACTCAGTTTTGCTCAGGTGACTTTTCTGCTTGGTGCTTTTTGCTCCCTTGCTTTTTGCTGCATCTGCCTGGCTGGATGCTCAAAACCTGTGGGGGCCACCAAAATAGGGAGAGGGCAGCAGGACCAGCCTGCAGGAACAACCAGGCTTCCCTCTCCCCATGTCAGTCTCCAGTCCCTCACCTTTTCAGTCCTTTCCAGCTTGAGGACAGCAGTGTTCCTGCAGTATTCCATCATAGGTGCCTTGCATCTACCAACTAAGTATGCACACCAGCAAAGCTATTTTGGTGCAAAAACCATCGTTGGTGGCAAGTTCTTGTATTAAAGCTGTCAAACACCACGTTAGCTCCTGGGGAGAGACTGCTTGCTGAGTCAATTCCAGCATTAAAGCATGGGCTAAAGCTTTCCCAACACCTTCCCACTCCAAAGCTGCTTTGCACAGTGTGGCTGCTGGTGTCTCAGTATCACGATGCCTCACGTGTTTGTTATGCATGTGGCCCATGGGACCACACGGTGCCCAACACAGCATCCAGCACTGCAGGAGTTGGTTCCCAGCATCACCAGACCTGGACTCACTACAGCAGCAAGATTCCCTCCGCTCAAATCTGGCACCACAGATCACAGAGTACAAAACTGCTGATGACTCAAAGAGATGGCCAACAGGGAGGAGTAATGTTAAGAACGTAGATGCACTTTCAATTTCATTTAATGCCATTTAGCACATTAATATGTCTGCTGGTGCCTGTGGGACCTGCTCATTTCAACAACTAATATTGAAGAACATCTGCACTAGCACAGAGCTCAGCAGCAAGTGGAGGCAGCAGCACGTGGGAAGACCATCGGGGAAGCAGCGTTCATCGCTGCTGTGAGTTCATGGTTTAAATCAATCAAAATGTGGGGGCTGGGGAACCAGGCACAAACACCTACAAGCTGCCTCCTCTCCTTGTGCAGATGGCAATCCTGCTAGCAGCACCCACGTTAGGTCCCCCTGCAGAACAAGCAGAGCAGAACTGGGGATTTTGGCTGGTTCTTACGTGCTGGATCCAGAAAGGTTGCCCCAAATGTTGAATATCTGTTGCAGCTTCACCCAGAGAGGCCAGTCCTCCATTACCTTGAGCCACTGCAGAAGGGAGAGTTCTGGTAGCAGTGTCTGCCCTGCTGATCGGTTCAGATGCAGTCAATTGTTGAACACATGGCACGGGTCCTGGGCACCACACAAGAGCATATTCCAGCCCCTCAACTGGCACCTCTGTAGGCTCTCCAGTCACCATCATTTTGGGACTGCTCCTGGATTTACAATTTCTTTCCTGCTCTCGCCTTCCAAGATCAGATAGAAAGCAGGAAAAAAAAGTTTCTTAGCTGTAGTTTTGAAATGGTATTTCTTCGTTGTCTCACTCTTCTTCATCTTGAATGCTGCAAGGCTGGATGAGCTGAGTGGTCTTTTCCAACCTTAATGATTCTTTGATTCTAAGTCAAACGAAGCACGTTGGCTTTCCTAATCTTGTCACTCATTGGCTGAAAACTCCACTGCCAGTTTCTCTCTACCACTCTCCATGTTTTCACACAAATCCCCAAATACAACCTCATATACTCTCCTTCTACGCTAATCCTGCTAGATTAGATATCCTGCTAGATAGAGATCCTACTAGATAGAGATAATCCATTCCCTCTGAAATGGAGCAGTCATTTTCACTTACACTAATCAAATAGCATAACATAAGTTCCTTAGAAGCATTAACAGTTGTTCTGTTCAAACTAGACAATTGTATCAGTAAACAAGAGTTGCATGGCATTCTCTGGCATGGTTTTAGAAGACCACAGGAAGGTTTGTCACTATCTTAGCAGCTCAAATGGGGCACAAATGCAACGAAGAAGTCCAGCTTCCAGCGAGCCAAGTCTTCCCATCCTACATGCCTGCAAACATCAGTCTGCAGAGGACTTGAACAGCATGGGAAGGACAGCAGTACGTAAGGCTCTGGCTATTCCTGGGAAGGAAACAACTTATCATAGAAACAACTTATCATAGCCAGCAAAGAACTCTGGCTTCCTGGGCTCCTGTCAGCATCTTCAAATACCTCCTGCAGCAGTAAGCAAGCTGGGTCCTGCTCATAGAATCTGGGGAGACAGAAGTCACTGGCAGGATTTATAAGAGCACACACAGAGCTGTGGAATGTGACTGGTGTTTTAAAAAGCCTTGGTTGTCCACCTGCTGGGATTGGGCAGATTGTGCTGCAAGAGGCTGAGCACCAGCAGGAAGCACATCTGTAGAGAGGAGTTTACACAAACAATTGATAAGAACAGTCTGAGCAAAATTAAAATGCATGACATGCATAGAGGGTCACTTGTTACACAAACCTGAGGCATTTGATCCTCCTCCTAAGCTTTTATTGCTTGAAAGTGCACCAATAATGAAATATTTGCTTTTAAAATAGGTCATTGATTTTATTACTGTGTGCAAAAGCAATGGACCCATCTGAAGAACTGGAAGGAATGTGACAGTCATGCTATAAAATCTCACCTACTTCATTCACAGACACACTAAGAAGTTCTTTTCCACTGTTTTCTTTGCTCTGTTTTTTAACACACGAGCTCTGAGAATATAATTAAGTGGTCCTGTACCACCTTCCTCCCTGCTCCCTCCCAAAAAAGGATGCTGAACATGCAACCCTACAATCTACATTTCAAAAATGGGGGAACAGAGAAACAGACACCTTAAGAAATCTTCCCCAAGCACAAGGGAACCCTGTCAAAAAGCCACCAATAACAACATGCTGTTTAAAAAAACGGCATACATAAGACCTTCTAAATCATGACATGTCTTCAGTCAGTAAGATAGGTCACTGCTTGGTACAAATTAAAACAATGCTTTTATTGGTATGCTTGAACACAAAACATAGGTAACACTAAAAAAAAAAGCATAAGATATATCTATTTCCTGATGTACCTAGCAGACAGTTCTCTTTTTCCCTCAGTCGTCACCTAGAAGGGACTGTCATCTTTCCCACAGAACTGTGTATCTAATAGCCCTTGTTTTAAGGTTTTCTAGCTGTGCTGATCTGTTCCCATGAAGTCTCAAGGCTGTGATGAACTGTTTTGGCTGTTCTTCCTAAAGCCTGACTGCCAAAGGAGCACAGTGTCTGTGCACCAATCACTACACAAGCACTGCACGACTTTAGAGCCTCCCAGGTGAAGTCCTGAAGGATGACAGCAGAAGTGAGAGCATGAACCTGGTTCTACTTGGATGCAAAAAAACGGAAGTTACAGGTTTCTCTGGGACACGTTGCCCTTCCAAGTCATTGAGGCTTAGAAGAACCACAAAGCTATCAAGAAAAAGCAAGTCAGAACGTAAAAAGATTTCTAATAAAGATTAATCTAATCCAAGTTTATTCTATAAATATTTTTTTTTGTCAAAAGACAAACATTTATAGAAACTTAAAAGAAATATTCCTTTGAAAAACAAATGGAGCTAAGGAAAATTACAAAGTATTGGTTGTTTTCATTTAAATTTAACCTTGCAGAGTTACGCTGTGCTCAGTCCTGTCTGCAAACCCATGACAGCTCCCTCACTGCAATCACTCTCCTCCGTTGTTCTCTTTTGCTTCATGAGCAGTTTCCTTAATCACTTTTGTCTTCTACTTGGTAATGTCTATATTCTGGCTTCAGCTCCCATGTGTTTTTGTGGGTCCCCTTCACGTTGTAGATGCCTATTTCTCTTAGAATTTCTTTCAAGTATATCTGAAAGGAAACAAGACAGCAAATTACAAAGACAGGCAACTGCCACAGTTCATACCTGATGTTCAATCTTCCACCACATCGCGTTGACTTTGCTAACACAGAGAAGACAAGGGGCAATAGGTACAAGCTGCACAATGAGAGATTTCATCTTGATGTAAGGGACATTTTTACAATGGGAGCAGTCAGTTGCTGGGACAACCTCTCCAGGGCCATGGTTGAGTGCCCATCACTGGATGTTTTCCAGATTTGGTCGGAGGAGGTTCTCAGTGATCTCGTCCAGGCTCCCTTTTCCCACGAAGGGAAGGACCTGCTGATATTTCAAATTCTCTTCCATCCAGTGACCCTAAAAAACGGCACACTTGGAAAATCAAATGACTGAGACATACCCAACGTACCCAAAGTGTCAGACATGCAGTTGGTCTCAAAATCTGTGCACGGCTACATTTCCTGCTAAGTGACGAAGGCGTGGGGGTGCTGCTTTGCTTTCTGCTTCGGAAGCTTGCTGCCATGCCAGACGTTAATGGGGCAGATGGCAGATCTGCATGAGGAGCACTCCCGGAGGTGGCTGTCACACAGCTCCGTCACCACAGCCCTATGGACATGCTCCTGGCTCTTGCTCCCTGTGCAGTCACATCAATGCTACTGTCTCAACAAAGTAAGGCATTATAAAAGCCTATTTCAGGCCCTTGGCTTTTCTCAGCTCCATCTGACCTCTACATACACGTGTCTTTCCTTGCACGGCTCCCTGTGACCTTTGCTATGAAATTCATGCAGCTTGCCTTAATGTGGCCACTGTGCCTTTTGGTAAGTTGCAGTTACCACACAGACCTTCCTGCTGGAGTTTCACAAGCCAAGCTAAAAGCTCCTGGCTTACAGTAGGAGAATCAGCTTCCTTACATTAGGATTTTCAGTACCTTTAAACCCGCTGTCATATTCTGATCCGACCAAAGCCTCAAGCTGTTGGTTTTCAGCTGTTTTGCAAAGCTTTCAGCATTTTATTTCTGCCTTGTTTTTAGGGAAGTGTTGAGTAGGTGCCAGAGAATTTCCTAATATATTCAAATATTAAGACTAAGCAGGGAAATTAGGGGAGAAAAAAAAAAAAAAGTAAAGCTACGATAACCAGTAGCACAAACTTTTACATAAGACAGCTCACAAATATTGCCCTCCTTTCCTCCTTGTAATAAACATCAATAATTTGTTGCATTTTTTAAAGAGCCATCTCCCTGCTTGCTTGTTTAAATATTTATCAGTGCTGACTTTGGAGGATCACCATGGCAACTGCAGGCCACAGTTTAAGAATCTCCACATTAAAATCACAACTGCTTTAGTCCGGATACTTCAATCCTCACTGAGTGCATATACAGATCGGGAGCTATGGGAACCCTGGTATATTCTGTATCTCCAGTTACACTAAGTGAAAATATCAACATCTTCCAAGTCATTAATGGCAAATATTTGTTGGTGACAGTAAAGAAGAACTGCCTGATCTCTTCATAGAATCACAGAGTTGCTAAAGTTGGAAAAGACCACAAAGATCATCCAGCCCAACCATCAGCCCATCCCCACCATGCCCACTGACCACATCCCTCAGTGCCACATCCACACGGTTCTTAAGCACCTCCAGGGACCTTCCTTACACTCTGTTCATTTTTCCCAAATGAAAAACCTGGGAAATGAAAATTATTTGCAGTGACTAAAAAGAAAAGTTCTTTTTTTTTTTTTTTTCAAGAAAGCTGTTGTTATTCTCTCTCCAGTTACACATAAAAATTTACAGAGCCCAAAATAGCCTGATCCCACACTAACAATGATACTTCACTGAAGGCTCATGTAGCAAAAACGATCCTTTAAAAAGACACCCCAAAGCAATGAGATTGCTTAAAAGATCACTTTGTCCACATTAGAAAGATGCCCACACCGGACTGCAGGCACAAACTAGCTCCTCAGGGTCTGCTGTTTGCCTGAGGCAGCTGTGCTTCTGCTCACCGCAGGGATGACTTCCTTCAGTTTTGGGGCACGCACGATGCAAAGCCCAGCAGGTGGCAGCAGTAGATCGGTGTGAGGCTCCTAACACACCTTCCCAATGCAACTTGATGTAGAGATGCTGTCACTGTTTGACAGTTGGGCCCATACGACAAATCTGCTCAATAAAACAGCAGTGAAAGTGCAAGCACTTTTCATGGAATCACAGAATCATAGAACGGCCTGGGTTGAAAAGGACCACAATGCTCATCGAGTTTCAACCCCCTGCTATGTGCAGGGTCACCAACCAGCAGACCAGGCTGCCCAGAGCCACATCCAGCCTGGCCTTGAATGCCTCCAGGGATGGGGCATCCACAGCCTCCTTGGGCAACCTGTTCCAGTGAATATTTCTGTACACTGATGCTGCTACTGTGGAATGTTTTTTTTAAAAGGTGATCAGAGCAGGTGGAAAAGCTATTATGTGAGTGCATGTAGATGTGTACGCTTGCACATCCAGTGCCTTGTTTGCTATCATTGTGTATGCATGTGTATTAGCTTTTGGTAGTGTCACCAACATACTTCAATAGATGGCAGCGTGGGTGGGAGAAATACGCTCAGATTCAAGGTTAAATTCTACCATGTGGACAGATTCATGAGAATTAAATACAAAATGCACCCAGTCACATGAAGCACAGCAAGACACAGTTACTGTGCTGAGAGACCCAACCTGCAGCGTGGGAGCTAGGTCCCAAGGTGGGAATGGGGAGAAGCACAACACGGTGAGCGAATTGCTGCTCCTTTGTGGCACTGCCTTTGGGTGATGTTCTGCACGATGTGATTCACAGAATCAATCACAGAATCATAAAGGCTGGAAAAAGCCTTAAGGTCATTGAGACCAACTGTCAACCTATCGCCACCATGCCCACTAAGCCATATCACTGAGTGCCACAACTACTTGCTTCTTGAAAATCTATCTCCTATCTCACCTAACACTGCCTGCTTCATGCCTCCGTGCCATTCCACCCAGTTAACAGAAGGTTACTTTTAATTTCACAGAATACAGAATGGCAAGGGCTGGAAGGGACCTCATGGATCATAGATCTCCAACCCCCCTGCGACATGCAGGGCCACCAACCTCCCCATTTAGTACCAGACCAGGCTGCCCAGGGCCCCATCCAACCTGGCCTTGAACACCTCCAGGGACGGGGCATCCACAACCTCTCTGGGCAGCCTGTGCCAGCACCTCACCACTCTCTCTGTAAAGAACTTCCCCCTGACATCCAACCTCAATCTTCCCTCCCTCAGTTTAAAACCATTTCCCCTTGTCCTGCTGTTATCTACCCTTTCAAAGAGTTGATTCCCCTCCTGTTTATAGGCTCCATTTAGGTACTGAAAGGCTGCAATGAGGTCACCTCACAGCCTCCAATTTCAGCTCATTTTCAGATGCAGTTCCCCAGGCAGTGCCACTTCTGCCTCAAACTTTCTAGACTTCCAAGAATTTCAGTTAGACAGAAAACTAAAACGGAACAAATTAACCCAATGTGATGAGTGAGATAACAGTTCTGCCACAAATAAGGGCAGTACAAGCCTGCAGCGACTGAGGTTTGAAACTATCTGCCATCTCTGCTCCGAGTGGAGGAACTAAAAGCAGAACTGAGAGAAACATTTTTGAAAAGCTGAAGGAGGCATTCACTTCCAAGCTCTAAAAACCTTTCTGAAACTTCAACAAAAAATAAAATCAAACCAGAATTAGCATAACCATTACTTAAAGCTGAATGTAGGAAAAAACTGTAATCAACCTACACTATTTTGAAAAGCAACGTTTCTGATTAGATGACTGGTTCCACTCCTTCCTGGTTCCAAATGCTCCAACTATTTGACTGCTCACACAAAAAGCGTATTTCCTTCTCAGCCATTAAGCCCAAATGTGGAATTACAGCAATATTTCTAGGCAGCACTGCATATTTGCATGTGGGTAGGTGACAATGGATTTGCCTAATACTGCAAATTGTTACTTTTAATTAGGAAGAAAGCCAAATAAAACCAGGCTTCTCTAAAACAAGAGGAGTTTGCATCCAGAAATGACTTGCTTTGTGATTGCACAATCCCAAAATAAAGATGGCAGCAACTTCCTCTGAGAGATGCAATATATTCTGCAGCAAGGATTCCATTTACTATTTACATTTACTACTGCATAAGAAAAATACCCTCATTTATTTATTATTTTCCTGGCAGAGTCTTTGATTCCTTTAAGTGTATTTTACATATTATTAGTTAGAGTCCACTGGTTGGCAACCCTGCACGTAGCAGGGGGGTTGAAACTAGATGATCATTGTGGTTCTTTTCAACCCAGGCCGTTCTATGATTCTAGAGATGTAGGCGCCCAGGAATTCATTTCAACAAGAGCTGCAGCAACCACAACATTTTTCCCTCACTTCTGAAAATAACCTCAGCATTTAGAAATCAGAGAAGAAATTACATATCCAGAAAATCTTAGACGCTATGACAGAAAATGAAGCAGTGAACACTCAGCAGAGATTAATTAACAGCCAACCTCTGTGCAGCATGTGTGCGCCTATTCAACCTGTTGGCATTTATGATTTTTCTTAGGAGGTCTGGCTGCTCTGTGAACAATTGGGTCACAGTGAGCACTGGGAACAGATACTTCATTTTCAGTAAGAAATACAAGTTTCACATTGGAGGTTGAAGCCCTCAGCATTAGAGAAAACCCGCGCACAGAGTGAAAACTGGCTGAGCAGCAGGAGATGATGGGTAGTGTTCTGAAATGGAACTGAATGCCATCAGCAACTCCTAACAGAAGTTTTTAAAGGGAACACAGTTGGGAAATTATCACAGCTTTACTTTTGAATTTATCAGTATATTGGCTATTCAGTGAAAGAAGAAAGGCACCAGGAAGAGGGTTTGATTCAGTTAGAGCATCCAAGCGTGAGGATGCTGTAAGGGCACCAACACCTAAGGCAAAAGTCCTCCAGGGAATTAACAAGAAATCCCAATTCTTACAGTTTGAAACTGAGACTGCACAGTCCTCTTTGAGGAAATGGTCTAACAGCTGGCTGATCTCAGGAGCCCTCAGCTAATTAGGAATAGAGGGGCTGCCACCCAGACCCTGCATACACAGACGGTGCATTGTGCTACGGGCAGAACACATTCAAGAGCATAAATTTACAGCAGACACACATAGGGAGATTTACAAATTCATCATAAATGTAATAAAAGTATTCACCTGAGGTACTTTGCAAATACAGAATACAAAACTGCAAGAAACTTGTGTCAGAAGCACAGCTTTTGCAGGCTCCTTGGAGATGACGCAGAGCAACAGGTACACTCCAGAGGTAAACTGCATTGCAGGAAGATGATGACTTTTGTTCCCCCATGGCTTAAGTGGGAGTTGCAGAAGACTATTTCTAGCTGAAGTCATGTTAGATGGGATAAATCTGCTTCAGCTCACATTGAGAGTGATCAAGATAGTGACTGTCACACCTATCTCTTATTAAGAAAAAAAAATTTCTTGCCACTGCTTTCATGCCTTTCTCCTCCTCCTTCCTCCTTCTCCTTTTCCATCAGCTGCAAGCCTTCTATGCCACACAGATAAGGAGCTGAATCATTAGATAAATCAATGAAACAGCAGAAAGAGATAAATGATCCAAGTAGTTTCTTCCAGGTTACTACAACACTGTGAACCTACATGTATTTGAACTGGGAAACATCTCTGTGCAGTTTCTTGACTGAACGCACTGTGTACCTTATACTATACAAATCACTGGTACTGATCCACTTATCTTAACCATCAAATGAGCAAAACTGGTAAGCATTTCTATTCTCCCTCTATTCTTTTGCAGAGAAGTATTTTTTTCTACTTTTCTATTTTTTTCCAGCTATCACTGTTCCTTTTTCTGCTTTAGCTCTGTTAACTTTTGAAATTGTAGCTCCATTTGATCTTAAACACAATTAAGTTTCCCTAAGTCTTCTGAAAACTCAGCAGGGTTGTAGAGAGACATCAAAGTCAACAGTAAAAAACATCCAAAGTACAAAAGATACCCTCATATCCACCGTGGAAAACAGGCAACAACAGATGCTACAAGCGCTGTTCAATGGAAGCCACTGATGAATAAAAGAAGGACAACTTCAAACTAAAGATCAGGAGCATGGGCAGGTGTTTGGAGCATGACTGTGGGTGAGGCTAAGGTGATACAGATCATAGGAAATCAGATTTTGTTAGTCCTACCAAATAACCACACAGCTTCTGCAAACACTTCTAATTTTATTGTGCTAGAACTTTATCTCCTCTGTGTGCCCATCTGCAACAAAGCCAGGAGACAGGAGACAAAAGAATCAGCTATACAATTTCCTGACCTGCCATCCCATTTCCTCAAGAGCTACAGCAGCATTTGGTAAGCAAGCAAAAATTACCGATTCTGTCTGTTGCAGTATCTCCTCACTGTATCCTGGTCTATAAGGAAAGCTTGAAGAGTAGAAGAAGGGAAAGAACTGCGAAGTTTGTGTTGACAGAGAAAGGAGCTGGCAAACACTGAAGATTAGCACAACCACCACGTGAGTGTAGGTCTTCATGCTTTTCTTGTTTGTGTATCCAAAGAAGTCTTTAAGAAAAGCAAACAGACACTCGAACCCTCTCTACTTTAAGATTTCTTCTATTTGTAAAGGAAATTAAGAGCTTTTGCAGGTGCTGACATTATGCTCAAGTTCCTAGCATGAACTACTTAGAGAAATAACACTCACAGAAGACACGGAAGCATTACAGAATTTGGTTTCTAGTATTGAAGAGAACCTAAATAAACAAGAGATCAGGTAAGTTACTCAAACCACCTCTCTCAAAAGTTTACTCACTGCAATGCTTTGTATCCTATGCAGTTCAATAAGGGCGCACTTAAAAGCTGCTGATTTCCATTAGTTGCAAAAAAAACCACTAAGAGATTTGTTTCAAATGCATACAGTGTGCATTAAACTATTTTCTGGATATGGAAAGTAAACATAATGTTAACTACTGAAAATGCTTATATTAGAAGACTACTAGTACATACCACTGGCTGTTTGGTTATGTCCACCAGGTCTTTAATGTTGTAATACTGATGTTTCTCAAAGGCTGAAAAGAGCATGTCCAATACTTGTTGTTTATCAGCTCGAGCCCGTTTTCCATCTTCTTTCTTTTTCTTTTCATATTCAATCTGTTAATGAGATGCAAAACATTTTAAATACATTCATATGTAAAACCATGTGATTCTCAGCACTGAATATTAAGACACCAAAATCTCTATATAATAATAAAACACTCTTCAGTGCTTTTTATCTGAAAATTTTTCTTTTGAGCACTCAAATATTCCTCTATGAACATAAACTAAGCACTATGTCCTTGCACAGCGAGCTTTTCAGATATGTATCTCTGCTTTAAAAACAAACAAACAAACCAAAACACCAGAAGCAAAGCCTGCATGATGTGCCCAAACCTGAAGGGAGAATTAATATTAGTACAAGCATCCAAACTGAGCTAGTGCTTTTGTTCCACCTCTGTTGATATAATAACAATAAACAACCTCCAAATTGCCACGCTCATGAAAATCCACAGAGCAACACAGCTGCACCATGACCACAGACATCACCTGCTCAAGGCATGCTTAGCTGCTCTTTGGACATTGCCTCATCCGTTCCAGAAATGGCACTCGAGACAATTACTCCACAAATAGGAAAACAGAATTCTGAGTACCATGAACAAACTTACTGTTGTCTGAAACAAAAACTCTAAGCAAGTACAGGCCCTCATCATCACGTATCATCCTATTTTAGGATATATATTAAAAATGTTTAATTGTTACAATCTATGCAAGTTAGCCATATATTTTTGCAGAAACTTTTATCCAACCGCTAAAAATGCTTTTTGTGTTTCACCAACTTCATCATCAGAAGCAAGACTTGCACAAACCAGCATAGATCAAAGCAATAACAGACACTACTGAGCACCAATGGCAGAATTTGCCCGTACATTATACCCCATTCACCCTCAAAAACATCCTCAATAGCAGAAAACCATCAAACTCCCCAGAACAGTACTGCATTTCACATGATCAGTAGATGCTTTCAAGCAAAGTCTATGAAAAGCAGCATGACATAGCAGAACAGAACTTGTGCACTGGATAAAGACCTGGTTGCCTGTGGGATAATTTCATACAAGTGGCATCTCTCCTCTGATGTCTCAAACCTGATCCTGAAGGAAGTTTTTCAGAGAGGAAGCCTACAGATGAAAATTCACAGTTCTACTGGAGACTGAAAATCATCTTTTTGACGGGAGATATTAATTTCATTCCACATTTTTCCTGTACTTCATTGCCAGCTAACTCCCTTCTTCTTTCTGATTGAAAATAGGCTGTCTCTTGCTATCTGTCTCAAAGAGGATAAAGCCTGTTACTACTTTTGCTCTTGTTCACAGGTCTCTGGACAGAGACACCTTTCCCTTTCAAATTCTGAAACAGACTTCATTACTAAATGAATGTAGAGCAATTGCTTCCAATCTGTAACTTGAAGGTTGTTCCTTCAGCTAAAAACCTGGAGGGAAGCTTAGGCATTCAAATACTTGACTGTTTTTCCAAGTATATATTAGTGCTATAAAAGATACAGCCTATCTAATTCAATTAATTTGCATCCACTGATACATTTTGGTGCAATTATTTAAATCTTGAGTCTCTGTATTTCAAAAAAAAAACAAGAAAACAAAAAAGAACAAGTCCTTCAAAACAGCAATAGCTTTGTAATGGTAGTAAACTGTAACAACAAGTAGAACAGCTTTATGTACATCATCTTGGTTGCTGTTATCTGGAACAGGACTGCTACACAGCACAGAAACTAGACTACAACATAAATGTAGGACATTGCCCCTGCTACAAGTAACAGTTTGTCAAAATATCTGCTGCTTCTAAAAGTCCAGCAGACTAATCATTAGGGTTGCCTGTTGACCTTGGAAAGATTTCAATTGTAAGCTTTGGAAACTCCATTGTGGATTCAATTTCTTTTTTCTCTTGGCAAAGTCTCACAATACTGCAAAACTACCAAAACAAGATACAGCCAGGATCCATTAATATAGTAGAAAATAACTACATAGCTTATAGAATGACAGTGTTCTTCTGGCTGTAAGGCTGAAATCTTTTCCAGGGATGTACTCAGAGTTATCTGCCTTGCAGCTCCGCTAGCAAAACAGCTGGCCAATTCTCTGCTGGTATATTTATATGGAATTTGGAGGGGCAGGGAAAATCTCATTCGTCTAGAAGTCTGCAGTGAGTCCAATGAAGGGATACCAAAATGGGAAAGGGCCTGAATCACCTCTCCCATGAGGAGAGATGAGAGAGCTAGGACTGCTCAGCTGGAGAAGAGGAGGCTCAGGGGGATCTCATCAGTGTCCATAAATCCCTGCGGGAAGGTGTCAGAGGCTGCAGCCAGGCTCTGTCAGTGGTGACCAGCACCAGGACCAGAGGCCATGGGCACAAACTGGAGCACAGGAGGTTCCCTCTGAACACCAAGAGCCCTTCTGTGCTGTGCAGTAACAGAGCACTGGCACAGGCTGCACAGAGGCTGTGGGGTGTCCTCCCTGGGGATCTCCCAGAGCTGCCTGGACGTGGCCCTGGGCACCCTGCTCTGGGTGTCCCTCCTGGGGCATGGGATGGAGCAGAGGGACCCAGAGGGCCCTGCCAGCCTCAACTGTGCTAGAATTCTATGAGTCTACTATGGCCTACAGCACTTCTCCAAGTTCTGCTAGTGAGCATGAAGAGTAGAAAGTAGGAGGAGACTTGTCTTTGGTTGCATGAAACATAGGATAAAACACAACATAGGTGAGACTGCTGGCCCTTTCTGCTACCTGCAAGATAAACAGCACACTAAATTGCAGATTGATTGCCAAAATGTTCACACATCTTATCTTTGACATCTCTGACAGTGGTCAGCTTTTGATGTACATTTGGCTCATGTCAGCACTTCCTAAGATACATGATGACATATGAAATATTTTTCCTGCCAGAGTAATCATCTCTCCACAGGAAGCATCTATGAATTATGCAGCTACCACTGTCAAGTCCTAACTCAGTGCATAACCATAGGGACTTGCCACTATAAGTTGTGAATACTGAGGAAAATGAGATATGCATGCTTTAAGACATGCATTTGGGATTTATTGCAGTATGACAGTCATCCCTTTGGTCTTAAATACATTAATATGCGACATCCCAGACTACAGTCTAGTTCATACTTCATTCTAACATCAAAAAGTAGCTGTAATGATCAGAATTCCATTAAACTGTCTGGTTAAGAGACTGTATTTGCAACTACAAGAACAATTTTGGTTTCTATTTTCTAGTATTATTTGTATTAAAAATCTTTGCTTTGTAAGCTGGAGAAAGCTGATGGGAACAACCCACTGTCATAAGTAATGAAATTGGAAGTGCTTCTTAATGAGTAAGATCACCACAAAGTGTGGCAGTATCATCTTTACATGGAAAGACACCAAGATAGAGACAGTACCATGTTATACTAGCTTTTAAGAAGAAAACAAGTAAACAGCAACCCAAATATTACCAAAAACAAGCAAATGTAGTTATGTACATCAGATATTTTTTGTTCTTTGACTGAAAACTGTTTCAGATTTTTTTCCCTTTGGTAGTTCACAGTCAAGCACAGGAATCGTCCTGTAGGATTTATCATATGTTTCCTTCAACATAAAAGGAAAGAAGGAACTGCACTTTTACTGGGTCTTCTTCAAAGATCCAGCTTTCTTGAGCCTGACTTTTCAGCCTTCTCTGACTGGGGATTCACATCATTTTCTAGTTTTTCTGTGCAGCTGCTGGCATTGGCAAACAACACTGCACTGTGTTGTCCATAGAGCACTACTACATTTAAGACACTGGCGTATGCCAACAATACTAACATTTTCAATGCATGCAGAGTAATCTATTACAAGAGGAAGAGAAGAATTATCCAGCTTTAAATTTGTTGCCAGACAAGCTTCTGATACATCAGAGGTCAAGTCCAGAGAAATGGTACGAGAGATGAAGGCATTTTTATTTTCAATGCTTGACTGAGTTCTGGTTTCCTGTATAACACCTGAGGTCACTTTCCAGTGTAAAGACCTCTGTACTTGGTTTTGGGGATAGTAACTTCTCTCTGAGTTAAAAGTACAACAGCTGAAAGATGTGGTGTGAAAGATTACAGACTGCATGGCTCTGCTACAGAAGCAGCTATTATGTCTGCTCTTCCCAACCCTTCAGTGATTTTCTACCTCCCCAGAAACAAAAATAAAAGGAACACAAAGAATAAAAACACAAAGAATAAAAAGAATCAAGCTGCAACCTCCTCAAGTAGGAAGGTCAAGCTGAAGTGATGGAAGAAAACAATCCCATCTTTTTCTGGTTTCTGGCTTGTTTTTAAGGGCCAAGAACAAGAGCCAGGCATTGAGGTTGTTCATCCTGTACGTGGTAGGGCTGCAGGAATAATGAGTAAATAACATGGAGCGATAAGGAAAGATACGGTGACTTCCAAAACAATCTCTAAAAATAATGAAAAAAGTCACAGTACCATTTGTGCCTCTTCAAATGAAGTATAGTGAAAATGTGCTCAGCTACAACTCTCTCCATGTGGAGAAAAAAAAACAACATTAATTTTAAAATTGATGTTTCCTACACAAAAGAAAAAAGTAACAGGAAGGAAATTCTCAAAGCTGCCTTTACTGATGCAAGGTCTCTGACAGGGTCATTTCGTGACTAGGAATTAAATACTAACGTGAACAAAAGTCTTCCTATAGAACAACATGAAGTGGTATTTTAAACTGAGCGATCTGTTTTTGCTGTAGATTGTGCTGCTCAGCATTCCTCTTTCTCCATTATTTTTTGTGACTCAGCAACTCTTCCCCAGTAGGAATTTTTATTTTACAGCCTCCTGATTCTCCAAAGCAAACCGAGTGGAAGTGTTTGGTTTCCCTATAAAAATACAAAGTGAATATTCGAAAATATTCTAAAAGTCTTCATTCATTAATGTATAAAACCTACTCACATACAAAACTGGTGACCTAACTCCCCCTTTGCTGAAAACAAGTTATTTGCAAGAAGTGTCTCAGCTGCCTGTGTTTTAATTAGCAACACTCTAGCATTACCTCCAGCTTCAGCAACAGCCACCACTGTTGTTTAGAAACACTGAGCACATTGTGAAGCGTGTTTAAAAGAAAACCACATTGTTTCAGCTGCCATTTTCTTCTTTCGCCTTGTGAATACACTGTTTATAGCAAGTTACAATGCATTCTTTCATTTTTTCCCCTTCTATTTTCTTTGCTAACAAGATGTTTAAAGAAATAGACTTAAAACACTTTCTGAGAGCCATATGACAGAATATATGTATATTGGAAACTAATTAGATTTATTTAAAACTGTGTAGTTTTCAAATTTAAAGACCATTGAAATATGATTTGATTTCAAGGACGGATCATTTTAGAACATGCTGCCAAATGTAGAAGTTGTTAGTTTATCCCTGCAAGACTTCATACAGGAATCAATTTCTCTTTGTTTATCATCACAGTATGTTGCTCAACTTGCTGAAAAGCTGCCAAAATTGCCTTCTTGAAGGTATAATTAGTAGGAGAGCAAAGTATTACACCTCTTTGTTAGACAGACAATGTAAAAATGATAGATAAGGCATTATAAAGCAAAACTAAATTTAAAGTTTCATCTGAAGATGTTAGAAATATGTTTTAAAAGGTCTTATATCCTTTTTACTGTTATTACTCTTTTTTTATCTAACAAATCGCTTGATAATCAACAAAACAATTCCGGTGCGTTGTTCTATTGACTGAAAAACAGAGATTTTAGTCCTATGCAAAGCAATGGAAACCACACCATGCAATACAGAAGTGGAGCTCAACTGGTCAAATGCAAAGCTTCCCTTCTTAAATCTGTGTCTATTCATCTATGAGCTCACTACGTGGCTCCAGACAGCCACCACTGTCAACAAAATATTCCACAGACTGACTGAGGTGAAAAACAGGCCAGCATGTTCAAGTAGTGCTTTTGCATGCATGCATGAGTAATTGGAAGCCCTGCTGCTCACCCATTTACTCTTATTTTGCTGATGTCTTCTCACAAGTCTCTATTCTGTCCATGAGTTGCCAGTCATGCATGCATGACTGCCTCTTCCATGCATCACTTTCAATGGATGTGAGTGCATGCGACAGTACCAAGACCAATTACAAGATGAAACAATGGTCTTGGGAAGTAATAAAATACCCCAGAGGCAGAAGTCATTTTGTTTCCAGGAAGTTTTTGCAGTTGCCCTGAGGGCCAGTTCAAGGCTTACAAGCAGTTCTGCCTGTTTATGTAGGATGGAGATGAATGGAAATGTTGGGAATATATGAGCAAGGACTTAATCCTACCTTTTTAAGATTCTCCTCCACCTACTCCTGATGATTACTAAGTAAGAAGCATTGTTTTTAGCATCTGTTTTCAAGAATCTGACATAAATGTCATTTGTTATTCTAAATACTGCCTTGGAAAGGAAACAATTACACCTAGCTAGCTATCAACATTTATCCATACCTACATGCAAAGTAAATCCACAGTATCTATTGCTAAGCTGGGAAAAAAGACTCAGAAAGCTTTTCTATCTCTTGGAATACGAATACCAACCTCCAAAGTAAGAGAAAAGGTGAACAGGGAGTTCTCAAAGAAAACTCTTCTCACTTTGTGTTTAAAAAATGACTCCGTACTTCAGAACAGCAAAAGGATAAAATCAATTATTTTGTTCTTGCAAGGTCATAAATGCTCTATTTTACACTAACTATATTTAAAATAATTATGTCTGTTGCATGTATAATGACTGACATATTATCCAGTTTTTGCTGAAAGAAGTGATCTGAAAGTGATGGAGGGATGACCCAGCAGGGCCTAGAGAACTTTTCTGCTGTAGTGCGAACAATAATTAAGTCACAGAAAGATTCCAGCAGCTGCAAGAACATTAATATTGCAACCGTGTAGACATAAGCACCACTTGTAGATACAGAGAAAATGAAGGTCCCTTCCTCAGAGAAGAAAAGCTAAGCTGTAATCATGGCATATATTCTAATGGAATAGCAAATTCTTCTAGGGAAAAGGTAGATGTATTTAATTTGCACAAAAAGCAATCACTTACTAAAGACAGAACTGGTAGTCAAACAAGCTGTCACTATTTCCCCTCTACGGGTAATTTTTCTCCCTCTTCCTTCCATCTGTATGTTCATTTAGGAGCAGTCATATCTACGTCCCACAGTATTCTATCACTCCTCCCTTCAGGAAGCTTTATCCTTTCTTATTTCAGTAGGTGTTCATTCATTCCTCATAAACTCCCAAGAAGATGACTGAGTTACAATTAGTACACAAGAAAACCACAACTTTTTTAAGAGGCCTTGTGAAATCCTGGTTATATTGCTCAAACCTTACACAAGACTATACTCATATGAAATTGCAATTACATAGCAGGATATAACAGTGTGACTATTTTGATTAAATGTCATTCCCCTAACTGAAATAGCTATACTGCTACGATCATCTATCTATAGATCAGACTTTCAACAGTAACTACTACAGAACAGTCCCATGAGGAAGAGAAATGATTATTTTGGGTTCTGTAGAAATAGACATTTCAGAATAATGCTTAAATATCAGCCAGCATATTGTCATTTGTTTTATGTAAATAAAATCTTAATAAAAAGTGTAAAAGTTTAAGTGACTAACACACTGACTCACTTTTAGCATGACTTAACATTCCTCACATTCAACAGTAACAGTGATTATATATGCATACATACAAATTACTCAAAGAGGATCTTTAAGGAAAAGGACATTATAGTTTGTATGTACATCAACTGATCTGGAACAGCAGCGTGGGTGTAATATTGACAAAGCTAATGATGCAAATAACACGTACTATGAAGGTATGAAACTGTGAAAAATTACCAGCTGTTATTCTTCCCTACTCAGTTCCAGCAAAGGACTAGAAAATAAAGATTCATTTCATGTCTTTTTTACCCACCTCCATGTGGTATTTTATTTGTCTCAAAGGAGCGTTTTATTGCACTAAGGCAGAATTGCTTTTTATCCCCAAACTTTATATTTCAAAAAAAGACTAGAGGAAGAACACAATCAAGACATTAGAGAAGGTTTGGGTAAAGGCAGTTTGCCTTCTAGCAGGTAACATGAGAAGGTAAGAATGGGCAGACCTTAACCCCAAAGGTGATGTGGCTCTTGAGGCAGAAGGAAGATTCCCAGAAGAAAAACCTTGGGAGAAACAACATAACGTGGAAGATCTCCAAACACTGTGTCCTACTGTGAGCAACAGGGCTACAGAAAGACTGGAGTGATGACAGCAGCACTGCAATTGTGGAGCCTGGAGCCTGCTTAGGAGAAAAAGTGAAAGTATTCAAAGCTACTTACATTATATTGATGATTAGCCACAGGTTTATAATTGGTGGTTACTGCTTTGTCCAGTTGCTGTGATAACCTTACAGGTTTAGAAGATTCCTCTATCTGAAATCTTTAAAAGAAAAGAAAAATAGAATTAATAAAAACTTTGCACAAGCACACAAGCAAAATGAATTATAAAAATCTGCAAGTATGAACCATCTCTTATCAGAGGTGAGCTGCAAACAAATAATTCACTCTTTTGAACCTTTTCCTGCTCTTTTTGCTTGAGGAAAGCAAGGACATTAGATGTTACTGAAGATACTGAAGTACTGAAAACCAAGCAACTGTGAAGGGATGATACTAAAAGTTCTGTCTGAACAGAGACTTCAAAAGTCTGACACGTGTAATAAAAGCCCTTGCTTTTAAAAATGATCAAAATCAATGGAAATGAATGTCAAATTTCCCAGCTTACTTAACTGAGGGCTGGAAAAGCTTTTAATTTATTTCTATCAATACTCAGACAACAGTGAAAATGACCTTCTCTTAGATATTTTAATGTAAAAATGAAGATTTCTTTTGCCACAATAGAGCATCAAAGCACAAATAACCATTTGAAGTGTACTTTTAAAGACACGAAGACAAAGAAATCCACACAGGTTCAAACCAATGCACAATCATGTCTCAAAGAAACTGCTGACAAATGGTGACCTTGAGTATAGTTTGGGAAAGATTAGAAAAGTGCAGAGGTTTAACATACTTTGTTAAGTTCATCTCTAGGTACAGTAAATAGGAAATAAAATCAATCTTCCTTCATATATAGCTGGTACTGCTGAACTGTGTAGTTTTGTCCCATATGTATGTAGATATGTATCTGCCTGTTTCCTTTTGAATTTTTGCAAACATGTCATTTGTTCTATAGTTTTATTATCCTTAAGTACAATACAGTGCCTTGTATTCTAGATTTCTAAATCAGAAGGTACATTGATGCCTTCTGTCCAAATGAAGCGTGTCTTCTTCTTAGCTTGAAAGTAAATCAATCCGAAGTTAAATGAGTGGTTAACATTTTTTACCACCATTCTAGCTCATAAAGGTACAAGTTTTTATCACAGGAGCTTGTCTTCTGGCCAATCTAATTAAACAATTTTAAAGATTTTAGTGATCTCATTACCAAAGGTCTCCTAAACATTTAACTTCCACAAAGAGGAACAGACACTACAGGAAAGCTAAACGCCTATATTTTCTACAAATCTTCTCCTCATTTTTATTTTTTAATATAATCTTGGCTATGTAGTGTGGCTTTATTCTTTGTTCTTACTTCAGGAAAACAGCCAAAGAATATCAGCCCTTCTGTAATTACATAACAGAATACTGCAAATATGGCTTGAACACATTTTCTCGGAAGAAAATGCTTTATAATGGTAGCATCAACCCCCCTCTAAATTCTTCATAAATTAGATATTTAAGCATGAAAATAATTGATAACTCTTTAGCCTAGAACCTGTGATGAACTTCATACAGCTGAATGCTAAAGGGCTCCTGCAGTTCTGGCATTTTAAAATTACAGCACAGGAAATTTCATCACAAATTTCAGTGCAGCTTCCATAAATTAATCTTTGCTCTCCTTCTCTTTGCACAGGAGAATTCCAGCAATTTCTTTCTTGACATTTTCCACTCCAAACTATTTGCTAGGCATAGTATTCATTTCTGTGTTTTTATTTTAACTTGCCAACTGCTGATTTTTAGAAGAATAGAAAACCGTATGTGTACAACTACTGCATTTCTCAGAGACTTCCAAAGACTGATGGCAGTGGAGTTACACATAACATGTGCAGCTCCCCAGAACGCAATACACAAAGCAAACAAAAACATTCTGCATGCTTAGGAAACAGGCTGAAATCCTACAATGTAAAAATGGAAATCTGAGTTTGTGAAATGACAGAAAAGTTCTGAAAGATCTACAAGGGTCCGGGGAGACCTCATCATGGCCTTCCAGTACTTGAAGGGAGCGTATAAACAAGAGGGGGAATGGTTGTTTATGAGGGTGGGCATTGATAGAATAAGGGGGAATGGTTTTAAACTGAGACAGGGGAGGTTCAGGTGAGATATTAGGAGAAAGTTTTTCACTCAGAGGGTGCTGACGCACTGGAACAGGTTGCCCAAGGAGGCTGTGGATGCCCCATCCCTGGAGGCGTTCAAGGCCAGGCTGGATGTGGCTCTGGGCAGCCTGGTCTGCTGGTTGGTGACCCTGCACATAGCAGGGGGTTGAAACTGGATGATCACTGTTGTCCTTTTCAACCCAGGCCATTCTATGATTCTACATGTACCAACTAACAAATGTTTCAGCTACAAACGTTTGTGTCTCAGATGGAAATTTCAGACATATCAGTGTTGTACTTCAAAATCTCTTCTACTTGGGCCAGTGGTTTGCAAATTATAACCTATAGATCTCATCTATAGAACACTGCCTAACGGTACAGTGCTGACTTTTCTTCCTGTTCCTAGCTGATCAAGTGCTGTAGTGAGAAGTACAAATACATGACACCCCCAGCACTGCTTTTTAACGCAAGCAAACACAGCAGTTGCAACACATCCGTATGGAAATTTAAATGGGAAGCACAGTGACTCATGAGGCAAACCTTTTTATTAATATGTATTTATTCAATGCATGCATCCTGCACTTCTCCCTAATGGCTGCCCTTCTCACTCCTTTTCTGAAGTGTTCAGAATCTCCTGCAGAATGACAGTCTATGATTGCCCTTCTTCTGCCAGATTTCCAGGCTCTACACGGTCCCAAATTACCAAACTGTTCATGTACTGAAGCACTGAAATTTGCTTAGTGCATAGCAAGGTTAAAACAAATACCCTGCAATCACTTTATCAAGGTAATTTGTTCATAAAGACACTATTTACAGTGAAAGCATAATGGGGCCATGATGGTGGAGGAGGGCGGAAGAGGTTCAAAATCCTGCCATCATTTTCCCATATTCATAAAGTAGTATGTCTGGGTAAATACATTCGACTTCTCTAATTTGTCTAGCTGTTGATTGAAAAAAAATTAATGAAACATATATTTATGTATTCTAATAATTACACACTACAAATTTGTAACAAAGGCTGTGAATTAGACATTATATTCATCTTTTAGACTGAAGTTTTCATGTTAGAGATACCACTTTAAAGTGCTCATTTCCTAAAAAGAAATTAAAAAGCAGTATTAAATGAAAAATATTACAACACATTTTAGACTGGCTGTTCTCAGAGTGGATCTGCTGAATTTTAATTGAAACTGTCAGTAAGAATAATTAAAAAAAAAAAAAATCAATAGGCATTCTGAGTCACTGGTGACCTTGATTTAAGAGAGCAGTCAGTGGCTTTTTACCTAGTACTCTTTATTACAATTTGCATGTGCGTGACAGTTAAAAGCCTTATCCAAAGATTTCAACTTTCCACATGGCTTCTGTTGAAATAGCAAACACTCATGCTGATACCTGGAGTAAAAAAAAATAAAGAGAATGCAGATTTTTTTTTTTTTTTCCAAAACTGCCAGTAAATTAATGACAGATCAGCCACCAGCTTGCACACTGTAGTTTTCTCTTCTACCCCCAAGGATCAAATATAGCTCTTCTGCCCTGAAATACAGCATGTAACCAGCATGGCATCAAATTCACCACGGTTATTTCCCAGTAAAATACATTTTATGCTGCAACTCTGATTTGTCATTGTGACTAGAGTTGAATAAGGGAGAAAATATTCAAGCAGGTTGGAAATAACTGTATAGGACTTGTCAACATGCAGCAGACTCATAAGGGGAGACAGATGAAGGCAATATGTATATTTGAATGAGATGCTCACTGGCTTTTAAATTCATGGATCTCTCAGCAACAAGAAAATAAAACAAAGGTAAACCTTAAAATAAACCTTTAGAATAGATTTCCTCTGATTAATCTTCCGCCACAAAACAAATGTTTCAGAGATTAGAAGCAGGTATTAATCAGAAGTGTTGATTGAGCTTCAGCTCTTGACATTTCTAAAGAAATTATTGTAAGGCTGAGACAGAACAGTTTCAAAAAGTTTTCATGCTTGATTTTATTTACACAGGGTTCTAGCAAGGCAGGAGCCAATACCACTGCTGTCCAAAAAGAGAGGTTGCTCAAGGTTGATCTGCATCTCCCTCTGCAACCTCATCTGACAGATGAACTTCAGAAATGCATGACCACTGCTCAAAGCTTTGGACAGGTGAGAAACACAGCTCTGGCTCTGCACAACTGTGCACCTTTTTTATTTTTTTTAATACATGAAAATGGCAACGAAGTTTTCTTCTTTGCCTTTTGATAGAATCATAGAAACCATAGAGTTGGAAGGAACCTCTAAAGCCCATCTAGTCCAGCTCCCCTGCAATGAACAGGGACATGCACAGCTACATCACGTTACCAGGGCCTGATCCAGTCTTGTCTTGAATGTCCCCAGGAATGGGGCATCAACCACAACTGCGGGCAACCTGTTCTAGTGCCTCACCACCCCCACTGTAAAAGACTTTTTCCTTATATCTAACCTAAATCTACTCTATTTAAGCTTGAAACCACTTCCCCTTGCTCTATCACAACAGACCCTGATAAAGAGCCTGTACCTTTCTTTCCTGTAGCTTCCTTTCAAGCACTTGAAAGGTCCCTCTCAAGTCTCCCTGGACACTTCCCCTGTCCATGCTGAACAGCCCCAGCTCTTTCAGCCCGTCCTTGTAGGAGAGGTGTTTCATCCCTTGGATCATTTTTGTGTCCCTCTCAGGATATGCTCTATGAAGTCTGTGCCGAGGACTCCACATCTGGACGCAGTACTCCAGGTGAGGCCTCACAGCACAGAGCAGAGGGGCAGGATCACCTCCCTTGCCCTACTGGCCACACTGCTTTGGATGCAGCCCAGGCTTTCTGGTTTGTGAGGGCACCTTGCTGGCTCATGTCCACCAGTACCCTCAGGTCTTTTTCAGCAGGGCTGGGCTCTATCCCTTCCTTCCCCAGCTTGCATTGGTTATAGTTTTTTTGTTTTTTGCTAAGTACAGGGATGTCCTAGAAAATCATATCCAAATCAAGCTAAGAAATTAAATAATATATGTAACAAAATGGGTTCCCGCCTACT